AGCTGCTCTACCCCAGGGGTAGGCAAGAAAAGCCTGGTCTGCTGGGGGTGGCACTAGCTGCACCCCCACCCCCAGCAGACCAGGGAGACGGGGGTGGGGACGCCCAAGTCCTCCACGGCTTTGCTCCGTCTCCCTGGTCTGCTGACCTGGGAGACACGGAGCAAAGCCGCAGAGCACGTGGGCAGCGGGACAGTCCAGGCGCGCCGCGGCTGTCCCACTGCTGGCGTGCTCCAAGGCTTTGCTCCCCATCTCCCTGCAGACCAGAGAGACGGGGAGCAGCTTTTCTTGCCCCGGAGGACGGGGCGGCGGACCGCGGCGCATCTGGGCGTCCCACCGCTCCCGTCCTCCGGGGCGAGAAAAGCCCCGTTCGTAACTGCGGATCCAACATAAGTCGGATCCGCGTAACTCGGGGACTGCCTGTATATTGAACAAAGCCAAATGAAAATGTGTTTCACAATCACACAGTTAGAAAGATACAGGATTAATGTAAAGGAGTCACCCAACGGGCTTTTATATAGTATTTTACATTCTATGACAGTGGGGACACCCTTACCAGGCCCCTGTATAAGGTGAGGGGAGCCTGCTCCATGCTCCCAGAAGTGTGGGGGCCAGTGTTCCCTTTAAGCTGCATGGCAGCACAGCTTCACAAGTGATTAATCAGCCCCATCCAGTCAGAGGCTCAGGGCTCTATGCACTCAGCTAATTGACTGGACGGAGCTGACTGATCACGTGTGAAGCTGTGCTGCCACCCAGACCATGGTTCCTCCCACTCCAGTCTTAGTGCTGCCCAGAGTGTAGTGCTCTGGGAACGATTTAAAGGACCCAGCACTCTGGCCACCATTGTTGCCTCAGTATCAGCAGCAGCTAGGTGCTCTGGCTCTTTTATATCACCCGGCCCTGGGGCAACTGCCCCCTTTGCCCTCCCTGTCAGTGGGCCTGCTCTGTGAAGGAAAGGCAATGGAAGGTCTTGCATTCAGTTCAGCTGAGCAATATCGTTCAAAGGACACCACATCCTGGCTGTGCACTGCATGTCTGTGGAGGTTCCTGTGCAGTGTTCCCTGAGAGCTGTGCACTTGTGCTGTTGCTCAGGAGAGATTCAAATGCTGCCTCAATGATTATGTACATACAACATTTATTCCTCACATATATGGGAAAAATCTGCACATAGATGGAAAAGGTTAGAGGGAACATTTGTCCTGTGCCTAGACACATAGTAGAATTAAGGTTGGCTTGATAAGAGTGAAGACCACTGGCTCCCACATGCCTATAAAGCTGTGCTGCTGCCACTTAGGAGATATCTACACTGAAATTAAAAATCCAGGGCTGGCCCGTGTCAATTGACTTGGGCTCACAGGGTTCAGGCTATGGAGCGATTTAATTATGGTATAGACATTCAGGCTCAGACTGGAGCTCAGGCTCTAGGAGCCTTAGATATGCTATTCATAAAAAAAAAATTATTTATATGCTTATTTTAATAGAAACACTCAGATTTATATATTACAGTTCAAACAAATATGAAAAGGCTGCTGAATCTTTAGCTAAAAATGATCTTCTGTTACCACATTTTGCAAAACAAGCAAGAAAAGAAAAAAAAGTTTCATCTTGCTGAAAGGCCAGATTTGGGCCATCTATACTGCAGTTAAACAGCTCGTCTGCCCAAGACTACTGGCATGTGCCAGGCACAGGTGTTTACTTGCAGGGTAGATATACCCTCACTGACTTGGAAGGGAGAATTCTATCTCCCTCACAATGTTATGGACCGCACTAACACACAGCATGGTACCCAGGCTGTGCACTTGGGTAAGAGGATTTGGGCATTTTTTTCCCTAATAAAAACTCCTTAATTGCCCCCTCTAATCTCATCCAGATAAACTACATCTCATCATTAAAACTACCCAGATGAGTAAGAGTAGATTGAAGTTTAAAATCAAATCAGACGAATAATGAAGGCAGAAGCATTTTGGTTAGATCAGGGGTGGGCAAAAGGGCCTCCGCAGGCTGGATCTGGCCCATCAAGCAGGTGAATCCGATCCACAGAGGCCTTGCTGCTCCCCTGCCCCAAGACCAATTAGGATCTGGGGGCAGGGCAGCATGCGAAGCCTCCTCCTGCTTTGCCAGGAGCACATAGCGTTTTGAAGCGCTGCACGCTGCTCGCAGAGCGGGGGGTGTGGGGGGGAGAGCAGAGGATGCTTTGCGCGCTCCCCAGGCCAATCAGGGCCTGTGGGCAGGGGAGCTGCATGAAGCTTTCTTCACCCTGCCATGAATAAACAGCGGAAGGCTATTTATTTATTTTAATTATGTTGCTTTCACTGGGCCTAGTGCTGAAAATAGTTCTCCCAAATACAAGGTTTATCCACTTTCCATTGATGAAGTGGTGAACCAATTAATACATTTGCATAGGTCATCTTGAACAGTTCAAGAGGTATATTCCTGAGATACAAATCTGGGAGCTGAAAGGATTCGGCAGGGTCAGAGCCTTTCTCTGTGTGATAACCACACAACACAATCTCATAACTTCATATGCACAAGAGATATACATATTTAGATAGAACAGTGTGTTTCATAACCTTGCCCTTGATACCTCACATGGCATGTTTTACATGCAGGATCAATTGCATGCAAAATGAGGAATATTGGGGTAGTACTCCTCCAAGGAATAGAGAGTCACAGTATTCACGAATGGGCTTGTCTACATTTGAAACGTTGCAGTTCTGCCTCTGTAAGGCTGAGAGATATGGCTAGGTCAGTCTAATTTGTACACCAGTTGCAATTCTGGAATAAGAATGCCTTTTTTCCAGGTGAGCTTATTTTCATTTCCAAATAACATAAGCTAAATGAAATTAGTACCCTTATATTGGAGTAAAAGTGACTGCAGAGGGGGTTATGTCCATTATCTCAACTAGAGTAGTATAAATTCAAACCTTACTTTGCACCAGTAGAGTGTTCTTGAGTAGACAATGCCTAAGGCTATGTCAACACAGCAGCTGAGCTGCTATAGCACCATAGTGTGGATGTGTTAGGAACCAGGGCCTGAAGCAGAGCTAGTTTACAAGGATGCTTATCAGCACTAGCTGTCTGATTAGCCACAACCCTGGACTGGCTACAAAGGCTAGCAGCTGGCTTCTCTATGTTCATCATTATGCCTGCTCCTACATTGCCTTTTTCTTGCTGCTACAATTCAAAGGAACTGATTGAAAGCACACTTACACTAGAATCAGACTGTCGTCCACCTGGGGTGTTAGGCTAGTCTAACTATATTGATACAGTAGAGGCACATCCATGTGTGGGCCAATCCTAAACCAGTGTAGCTGTTACAATACAGCTATGGCACTGCTATAGGGTGGTAGTGTAGATGCTTCCTACATTCACAGAAGAAGTTTTTACATCAATGTAGGTAATCCATATTTCCAAGAAATGGAAGTCAACAGAAGAATCGTTTTGTCAACCTAACTGTGTCTACAGAGGGGATTAAACTGACCCAGATACAATGCTCAGGAGTGAAATTTCTCAGAGACCTGAGCAATGTAGCTAGAGGGAGAGTCACTTTTTAAAATGTTACCCATAAGTTGGAACAACATAGAGAAACTAATACAGATACCAAGTATTTAATCAAGCATGTGTAGCGCCCCCTCTCCACCTGGTTACCTTCTTTTAAAGCCAATCTCCTTTCAGGTTTGGATGGATAGGTCTGGGTTCTTCTGGATCCCGCCACCCACTCAATTTTATTCTTTCTGATTGATGAACTTGGCGGTGCCTCCACCCCCCTCACTCCTTCCTAACAGGGTCACCAGGGCAGCTTGGGAGGAAAATTCTAGCCCAGGATAATCCCCACGTATTTGCCAGATAGTTGGAGACTCCCAGAAAATAACAAACACATACACTATAATAAACACAATTATATTAAACAGGAGACAATTATAACAGAACAGGGTAAAACACTATTTTTAAGGTCACCGGTGCCCAGCAACTGTGAGGTTAGTGTCCCGTTGGTACGCGTACTTTGTTGGGGCCCTCGATGACTGTTGACCACACAATCCTTCTCTGCAGTGGCTTAGCAGTGAAGCTGACTAGGTCCAGTACAGCCCAAAGGACTCACAAATGGGAGAAGGCAGTAAATCCCTCCACAGTTTAATATGCTGCAGGTAATAAAATCCCCAAACAAATTCCCTGACTTACTAACTAAAAATTGGTGCACTCACACACTCCATGAATGAGCCTCA